CTCCGTCCGAACGAAAAGGATGTGCGAGGGTTGAACAAAAAAGTCAGGGGGACCCCTGACCACCCTCTCGCTCCGTGCGGAGGCTCGAGGGCTCCTCCTGCACCCAAGACGAGGACAAGCGACCCAAGCCCGCACCTGAAGACTCGAAAAAATGCGATAAAAAGGCACCGAGCCTGTTACGGTCCAGGGGTTTGAAGGCTGGGCCCCTAAGGTTTTCGACAGCCGCCCCAGGGCAACAGAGTCAGGGATGACTATGGGCGAGCCCGCGCTTGGCTGAGACCTGAGCAGGCGACTGTTTGGGACGCTCTAAGTCGTGTCCGAGACTAGCAAGGAGGTCTCCGAAAGGGATCCCACCGTAGGGAGGCACCGAGCCACCGGGGCTTAGCGAACGGCCCCGACACCCACTAGAGAAACCCTCTGGTACTCTTGGAGTGCGTCCATGGACCGCTAGCCGACCCCTAACGAACAGGGTTCGGGCCTCCACTCGGACATACCCAATAACAGCTCACCGTATCGCTTGCGCCCATCGAGGGTAGCCTGGCATATTCCACCCCTCCTTCCGAACGAAAAGGAAGCGCGAGGGTCGCATAAAAAAGCCAGGGGAACCCCTGACGGACCTCTCGCAGAGGCTAAGGGGCTCTCCCTGCAACTTTGCCGAGACCCAGCGACCTAGGCTCGCACTCGAGGGGCCTCGGCAAAGCAAACCCCTCCTTCCGAACGGAACGGGTGCGTGAGGGCCATGCAAAAAGACAGGGAAACCCCTGGTAGTCCTCTTGCTCCGAGCAGAGGCTCGGGGGTTCTTCCTACAATTAAACCTAGGCTTAGCAACCTGAACTCGCATTCATGGGCTCGGCTAGCGCAATAAAAATCCGTCGCAGGACGTAAGGAAAGCCCCTGGTGGAGTCAAATCCACTCCTCCAGGGCCTCGGGGGCTACACCCGCGCGGGTGCGCTAGCGCGCACCCACCGAGGCCTCGAGTATGAAACGCAAATCTCGATGAGAGCCACCGCAAGACGAGTCTCAAACCTCCGAGAGAGCGCACACACTCTCCTAGAGGCTCGGGGGCTACTGTCGGGTACCGTAAAAAGGGGGTACCCTAAGTAAAAGCCGGAAAAACTCATAAAACCCCCATAAGGCCTCCTTAGTCAACAGTTCACGGTGACGTCCGAGGCCGGCTCGATCGAATCCGGTCTCGGACCAAATCTCCACCTCACCCGAGGCCCCCGGTCAGGGTCTCGGAGGTCCCGATCCCGCTCCGCCTCGCCCGAGGCCGGGCTCATCCCGTGTCCTCGTCACCTCCGCCTCGATCGTCCCTCTGGCAGGCTGTCCCATCCATTTAATGCCCCTACAAGCACCCGCTACGTCAGCCACGACCGGCAGGGTACAGCAACAGGAGCGATGGGACAACGGTCAAATCTTCTTTTTACCATCCCTTACTGACGGTGCAGGGGTTACCGTGCCCTATGGACACACGTCCCGCACTATTCCACCTAAACCGAGTACGACGCTGACCGCTGAGGCCCCCATATCTGACGCAGGGCACGTCCAAGGCCTCGGATGGATAACTAGCTCTCCGCCTCGCCAGTGGCCTCAGAGGCCTCGGACAGGAAACTGATTCTTTGACTCGCCTAAGACCCCACCCAAAAGGCCTCGGGCGAGTTACCAACGCTCCACCTTGTTCAAGACGGGCTCGGCAAACCACCCCATCACCTCCGCCTAGACCAACCACTCCCACGACATCATCCGGATGACAGCTAGGAGTGGCCGACGAGACGCAAATCACATCGGCACCATGCCGCCCGAAACAAGACAAGGCAGGAGTTACCGGCCACTGTGCGCAGCACTGTGCCCACGACTAAATGTCCATACCGCACTGTGCTGCCTAACTCTAACTACTCCGAGGACAACGCGGCGTGGGAAGTTAAGCTCGGATCCCTGTAGCCTCGGAATCAGTGTGCAGGGTCAGCCGCTCCACCCACGCCTCAACAATTTACCTCAGGGTCTCAACAACCTTGGTCTTCACACCTAGCGAGCCCCCCCACGATGGCTCGGCCTCGGCACCGGCTAAGCCTCGGCACTTCGTGCGGACAACGCACTACGACCGGCACGTCGCTCGTCATGCCCTACGATAGGCTATTACATCATACAGTATCGGATGTGACCGGCGCGCTGCTCCGACACTTCAAAGGTAGAACCACTCCATCGATTGTTCCGCCACAGTAACAGCCTACAGGGCTCGGATAGGCCACCTCTGTTCACACGACGCCACGTAACTAGCGCATGTATCACCCCATCCCCCCTTCTACTATAAAAGGGAAGGACCGGGGCTGTTTCTAAGGACGAGACACACGGGCCTGAACTGGAACACACTTAGGCACATACGAACTCACGAGGAAGACGAACACAGGCCGTAGTACCCACACTTAGATCAGCGTCTCGAGCAATTTGTCCCGTTCATCATAGAGACTTGGGGCTAGCACCCTCTCTCGCCCTGCTTGTAACCCCCTACTACGAGCACTTCGGTGCAAGGAATACAAGACCGATCTCCTAGACTGGACGTAGGGCACTGATTGCCTGAACCAGTATAAAACTTGTGTCTCTTTGCATCACCATCCGAGATTAGGGGCACGCAGTACAAATTTACTAGTTGGTTGAGGACCCCCCGATCCGAAACACCGACACTTGGTAACCCTAGATTCATCATTATATATTCTAAACATTTAATCATCCAAGGAGCAAAATGCAACCACAACGAACATCACAACCAACATAATATGTCATGCACAGTCCAAATAGTTCACAATATCCATACAGTCCCAAATAGTTACAGAAAAGTAAATACAAAATCCATAATAGTGCATACTAACAACTACCACATCTCTCACTGCCTCCTACTCTTGCCTTTACCCTTGTGACCGAGAGCCCTCGTACCTGGAGTGTAAGGGTCACATGGACGGCGTCGCCTAGTGCCTAGAGGTGGTGTAGGATGAGTCGAGGGAGCGTCATGGAGCTGAGAGGGGCCAAGCTCCTCGTGCCTCTTGTCCACGTCGTCGTCGTCTTCCTCGTCCCCGTCCCCTATAGCTGCTTGGCTAGAGGAACCCAAGCCTCCTCTGCCTGTAGAAGGAACGTACATGTCTTGCGTCGTGTCTGTCCTACAACCACAACGACCAGCCACACGGCGTAGACGACGTGACAGCCTCTGTTGTATAAAACTATGTTAACTGAAAGAATCTAACGTATTAATGATATGTTTGAAAGAATATTTTTAATCTTACATCCAGGAAGCCAAATATGTAGTTGTCACTGACTCTCGACCGAATGCGCTCAATCTCTTCAACTGAGCATTTGAGTGTATTGCCCTGCAACAAAGTTCTCAGTAATAATACTTCTGAATAGATAGCAATAGGTTTTGTTTTCTTTTGTACAAGAATCTAACGTATTATAAGGGTGATACGGCTCGAATGTGGCACTAACTAAAATAGATAACTCATAATATCGATCCAAGAACGCCTAATGTACTGTTGTGCAACTTAACGTAGAAAAATAAGGCAATTGGCTTACCACTATGTCCAAGATCGGTCCTGCCTCCACCTGCCTTCCTGCACGAGTCAATTGGTTGTATGCCGTGTCTTCATCGTTGGAGGACTCGATATCGGCGTAGTCATCTTCTGTCCACTGTACCCTTAGCCTGCAACGTATCGCACGCTGGTACCAAGCTTGGTACCGCCTGAACTCACGGTTCGTGTGCGGCTCATTGTTGTCGTCCACCTTGTCGTGCATCTCCTCCCAATGCTCAATGAAGGACTGGTGGTGCCTCTCCCAGTCAAAAATCTTCTTGTTCTTCTGATGATCCAACCTACACGTATGTCATCGTTACTTGATTTCATGTATATGTCACCATATTAATAGAAATGGACCATCACGAGACATTTGAAATATCAAAACACTTACTTGTGTAAGTCAACGCCAGTCGAGAACAGAGCCATAGGCCAAAGCTGTCTCACTCCAAATTGGCGTGCAACCCTATCTGGCAGGTGAAACTCGACTGATCCACGGATATTAACTAGTAAATAACAAATGCCAACTAAGTAGGTATATTGCATATTCATAATTTTTACCTTTCCAACGATCGATCCACTTGACGTCCGACGAGTTGCAATGACGATGGGCGGGTCAGCCGATGATCCGGCCGGCGGTGGTGGCATGGCTGCCATGTACCGCAGTGGCGGGTTTAGCGGTGTGGCTGACGATCGCGGTGGCACGCAATGGCGCGCGGATGGCTGGGCTCCATGTGAGTGAGTCCGGCTCGACGGCGTGGAGGCACAATGGCCATGCAATGAGGCAATGCCATGGAGTCGCGGCAAGCGTGCGCGAGCCAAGGTGAGGAGAGAGGCGTCTTGCGGCGCAGAACTGGCGAGGGACCGGGCGCGGGCGGAGGGCTGCACAAGGCGCGGCGGCGGGCCACCACCAAGGCAACGCAAACGCGCGCGTGTGGGGCGATCATGGGCGGCTTTTGCACGCCGAGGCGCGCGGCTTTGGGCGCCGTGGTGGCGCTTCAGTAAGCGCGGCAGGTGACGCGGCGCTGTGGCACAGCCCACGGGCGCGGGCGGTCGGTGGAGGCGCGGCGGGGGGCGGCGACGAGCCGGACTCTGCTCTGCTAGGGCGAGAGAGAGAGAGGAAGAGAGGTAGAGGGCGCGGGGCCCATAGGTAATAAAGGTTCGGTGCCAGTCACTCTGACGCCGAGCTGAGTGATTGACGTCGAGCTCCCTACCATGTCACCTACCGAGCCCAGGAGCTCGGCGTAAGGGAGCAGCATCAATGGCGCCGAGATTAGAGTCTATTTTCTAAAATATTTCCTTAAAGGGTCTATTTGTGAGAAACTTAAAAAAAAAGGGCTAAAATGTTAAAAATTCGGCCATTTTGCTCTCCACCGTAAACAGCAGAGAAAAAACAGAATCCCAGATCCACTCATCCAGCGCTCCCCATTTCCGTCCGCGGCCATGGCCTCCGCCTCCGCCTCCGCCGACGCCGGCACCTGCCCGTGGGACGCCCTCCCGTCGCACCTCCAGGAGCGCATCCTCTCCCTCCTCCCCATCACCGAACTACTTCCCGTCGCCGCCGTGTCCCGCGCGCTCCGCCGCCTCCTGCGCTCCCCGGCGTTCCACGCCCTCCTCTCCCCGCACCGCCTCGACGCCTTCTTCCTCCTTTCCCCACGGCTCGCCGTCCACCCGTTGTCCCGCCGCGTCCTCACTTTGCCCGCACTCGCCGCGCTCTCTCCCCCTTCCTACCCGCTCGTCTCCTCCCCGTCCCCATCACTCCTTATCACCTGCGCCTCGCTCCAGTTCCTCCCGCCGTTCCCCGACGCAGCCTACCTCCTCTCCGTTATCGTCCCGTCGCGCCACTCCTCCCCCTCCTGCACCCTCGTCGCCGTCACCACCGGCGCAGCCGTACGTTCTTACACCCTGGACACCGGCGATCCCTCCCCGCGGTGGGCGTCTAGAGGCGATCTCCCGCTGTCTCTCACGATCTTGGGAAACGCCGCGGTCGTCGGTGACCGCGGCAAGCTCTTCGTCCTCGGCCGTGGCCCCGACGCGCTCTTGGTTTTTTTATCTCGGGACGGGGACATGGGAAGTGCCGCCTGTTGTGATGCCACAAGGTCTCACCACGGCGCACCTGTTTCTTTTTTATGGGAGTCTCTTCTTAGTAGGTGGGATCGAGAGCTTTGGAGAAGTGGAGCGGGTGGTGGTCTGGCGGTTGCACGACGATAAGGAGGAGGAGGTGTGGTGGAGGGAGGTGAGCGTGATGCCGACCGAGGTTTTCGATGAGTTGCTGGCTGGTAGGTTTGGCAGTTTCTGGCATTTTCAGGCTGCGGACAGATTGGGGATTGTTTGCTTGTACAATGCCGTGGATGGGAGGCTGGTCATGTTTGATGCGGCCGATGGCGCGTGGACAGTGCTGCCACGACTGTCTGGGTTGGATGCAGACGAGAGCCTCAGGTGGTTTGGACATGTCTTGGAGCCAGGAGTTGAAATCTTGCTGGGACTACGATGGTGAGGCTTTGCTCTTAACTTATAGTATTTCAGTTGAGTCCTGGCAGGTTCAGCTTAATGCTCCTTGAGTCTTTGATGTGAGTGTCTCTGTAAACAAGTAGGCTAGCTAACTTTTGGTCTCAGCATGTGTATATTGATATATTTTTTGTCATTTGCTGTTTATAATTCTCTGCTGTAAAACCTGATTCCGATAACATGTGGAATTTTGTAGACATCCCCATGAGGTTACTAAATGATGTGTACGCAAATCCCTGGCAGTTACCAATGCATCAGAGCTCCTGAAGGTCCTTTTTACTCAGCTCATCATCATGTTCAGAAGCGCAAGCTGCATTAATAGCCAAATTCTTACCGTCCTTTGCTTTTTGAGAGAGAAGAACTTCATGGTTAGAATGTGTAACTTATCTATCAATATATCATCTCTCTCTCTTTTTATTTCTTCACTATGCTGTACCCAGCTTTGATCTGTAGTAGCTCCCCGTGTCAGGACGTACATATGAAAAATCAGATGTCTTGATAAAACCATGTTAAATTTATTGTCTTACATGCAATGTTCAGCTTGTTAGTTGATAAACAAGATTGTCCTGTTTCCTCAACTTCTTGCCTCAACTTCTTGCAGTGATAGAACTATTTGTACATATAGGTATTAGTTTCCGAGTAATAAACATACTGTATATATATGTTATCTGGTATGTGGTCCTATCACAAACCACCATTACGAAATTAGCTTCATATAATTTAGATGCACCAATATAAGCTTGCCTATGATGGATGTCGATGTTAGGTTCTTATGTTGATGGCTGGAACTATCTTAAGCCAAAGTATAAGTGGCTGGAAATGGAACGAAACCTGTAATCCTTTCTGGAAATTTTTTCTTTGATGCTTCTCATTCACCCTTCCCATTTGAAAGTGCATTTGCCCCCTACGTGGATTTTGGTGTATTGATGACATCCAAATTAGTGCCAGATATATTATAGCTTTAGTCCCTTGAAAGTTTTAAAAGAGTTGATCTAAGATGAAATGGTATCCCTCAATTCTTAAAGTGCAAAAAGCGAACGAACTCAAAGCGTTCTCCAAAGCCTTTTTATTTTGTTTTGGGTTTAGATATGCCGTACTATAAAGAGGGATGCAAATTTAGCTGGTATGAGGAAGATAGAGTGTTCAAGCATAAAAGTAAAATCAAAGATAGACACAAAATCACCTCACGAACACTTACATATAGTTTTTGGACTTCTAGTAGCCGGAAGTCCCGGCGTGAGCCAAGAGTTCCGGTAGTCGGAAGTCCCGACTTTCGGTGCCGGAAGTCCTGGCGCTTGCTGACTTAGCCGCCAGCCCACCTGCGCACCTTTGTCCGTCGGAACTCCCGACTTTCGGTGCCGGAAGTCCCGGCGCTTGCTGACTTAGCCGCCAGCCCGCCTGCGCACCTTTGTCCGTCGGAAGTCTTGACGGGAGTCGGGAGTTCCGGGCGTCGGAAGTTCCGGCTCCCGCCGAAAGTTCCGATGCCCTGGTACTTAGCCTCCTGGCTCGGCTGTGCGTCGGGAGTCCCGACAAAAGTCGGAAGTCCTGACGGCCGGTAGTTCTAGCATTTCGCCGGGAGTTCTGGCTCTGGCTGTGTTGTCCATCTTTGACTGCGCCTTGAACAGTGTTTTGTAGAAGGGCCGGAAGTTCTGGCGATCTGTGTCGGAACTTCCGACTCAGATCTGAACGATTGGTTTTTACTATGAGTATAAATAGCTCTCTCCTCTCTTTCAACCTTGAACCACTTATTCATTGCTCACCAACCTTCGTCCTAAATAGCTCCCAAGCATTCAAGGCACCCCTCTCCTCTCCCCCTTGCTCCAATCTTCGATTCCCGTAGGGTTTTGTGTGAAAGGAGAGTGGATTGAGTGAGAGAATCACTTTGACAAGCTTGAGCACTTGATTTCTTCGTCAAGCCGGTTGGACTTGCGTCTATTACTCTTGCGTTCTTGAAACCCTAGCCGGCTAGGCGTCGCCCAAGAGCTTCCATCTTGTGGAAGATCCTTGGGAAGTTTGTATTACCCTTGATTTCTTAGTGGAAAGCTCAAGTAACCTTTGTGGTTGCTTTGAGAGAGGCAAGGAGGTGGAAGAGACTCTGACCTTTGTGGTCACCTCAACAACGAGGACGTAGGAGCTCCTTTGTAGGGTTGCCGAACCTCGGGATAAATTCTTGTGTCCTGCGTGCTTGTTGTTGTTGTGATTTGTGCTATCATATTTGTTCTTGTTGGTTTGTCTTCCTCCCCAAGTCTCCTCGTAGGGTTTGGACTCGATTTACGAAGTGGTGACCTTCCGGCGTCAAATAAGCAACCCCAACACTTCACCTTACCACTAGGGAGTGGGGTTGTAAGATATCTTTCACTCAAAGTTCGTTTTAGCACTTGTAGTGCAAATTCTAAATGAGGTGCTGGGAACTCTCTATTTGTTTTTTACGGAACTTCCGGGTGCCGGAAGTTCTGGCCCAAACTGTCGGGACTTCCGACTGTCACTGACATTTGACTTTGAGATTACGCAGAAATTTTTAGATACGCCTATTCACCCCCCTTTATGCATTGTTTAGATCCTTTCACCATTTGGTTCAGGGAAAAGGCTTATGAATTTTCAAAATAGCTTTATAGGGCAGCATAAGAATACTGTGGACAATACAGTTTATTTGTATGCAGATCTACAATGCGGGGAAATGGCCCACCTTTTTTCTCTAGTCTTCTCAGGAGAGCTTCTCATTTCACCTTCCTTGCCAAGTGAAGGAGGTGGCGAGGCCGATGAGCCTAACGACTTCAGTGCATCCATGGAAGATACAAGTGAATTGGATGACAATGCCCACAAATGCAAGGCTGTGGACATGAAAATCAGTAAGACTAAGGCTAGTCTTAGTAGGGGTTTGATGTCCCAGTTTGCAAGACTCCTATATGTAGTGTCATCTCCATGAAACTCATTTTACTCCTATGGAACTTTGATCATCTCTCTCTTTATTAATATTGTGCCATGTCAGCGTATTTGCTAAGTTGGTAGCTTATTAAATGGCCATGAAACTCTCGTGAAACCCCTACTGAGACTAGCCTAAGAAACACAAACCTTTGACCAAGATAGATAGTGACCTCTGCTATCGTCGAAAGAAAGGTTTTCCTGGTATCCAAGTGGCTTTGAATAAGAGAGGATTCAAACAAGCAATCTCATGCAAGTGTTACATCATAAAGAATGCCTTATGTTTACTTCAACTAGGGAAATGGGCAGCAAAGATGTTCATTCCCAGGTAGAAAGATTTGACATGTTATCAAATTTGTATGATACGAGTTTTTTGTCGCTGTTTATTGTCTGCATCTCATTTGGAGAATTATTATTAGCGGATGGCCTTGGGACACTATGAAAATATGTGCCGAACAGTTACCATCATTTTCTTGTGTAATAAAAACGAACCATCCATTCTTTCTTCTGACATATTCACAAATGCATTTTGTATTATTCATCAAACTGGTGAACAAGGACTAAAGGAGTCAATTGAGGGAAGTGTCAGAGGCACTGCATCCACTAGGTACCCTTTATTCTTATGAATAAAAAATGTTGTAGATTTTGTAGAATTTGTTGCATAAAGTTACTGTTTTTTTGCTAGAATTCAGTTCTTTCATTTTATTCCCTACAGGCATGCAGTCTATCAATTTGGTTATTGATACGCACGTGAGATTTCAGCTGGCCATTAAGGTAGATATGTGGATATGCAGATAGTAGATTGGTGTGACTATTTTCTATTGTTCTCTTTCCTTTTCTTTATTTTGGCTTAGTCTAGTTCTCCATAAATTTCAACAGACAAATCTTGTTACTGACATTCTCTTTCTTTATGTATTTAGTATAATCTATATCAGCACACTACAATTATCATTTTACATTGTTACATATGTACTCCCTCCCATTCATAATACTTGTTTTAGAGTTGGGCGCAAGAACAAAGATGGTAGATAAAATGCACATCTGACCCTCAGTTTTCTCTAAAGTGTGCTTGTGGGGAAAAGTTAGTTAATTGTGCATTTAAGAAGGGTAAAACCGTAAAAATTTGCCTAGAAGTTGTAGAACATCAAGTATTTTCATTATTTTCACCACATTAATTAATACATAGGAGCCTGAATTTGATCAATGGCTTCACAGTTCAATGCATATGATGGTGTGCAGATTATTGACTCATTTCATAAGCCAAAGTATCATATAACTAAACTTGCCAAATGCAGACATTGTAGCTGCTTGCGAGCTCTGCCTTTTGAAATACCATCGACTGGGGACACCAGAAATATTAAAAGAGAAGCATGCAATGCCTATTAGTAATTTGCAGGGAACTGCAAAAGATCTTGGCAATGGGCACACTGTAACAGTTCTTAATGTTCAAAGGATGTCAAGCTCTCATTTGCATTGTCAAGTCCTGGAGATGATCAAAATCCATCTTGTAACCAGGGGCAGTGGTTGCTGTCATGTTGCGAAAGCCATATTTACCACCCAATATTACCATGGATAAATGGTGATGGCCGCGTGAATAGCACTGTCAATGAAGGTTTAAGTCGTTGAATTATTGGATATGTCATGCAATATCCAGGAATTGTTGAGGTTTGTGTTTATTTTTATTATTTAGCCCTGCTTATTTTGTAATGTGAAATTTTCCAAAGTTTTATATATGCAATTGGATCTGTGAGTTCTTGGGTTTGTATTATGTACATGAAGAA